ACCTCCAGACTCAGTTTGTGCCAGCCCCAAGAGCTCAGTAGTGTCAAATCCATCCCCATTTCCCTTAACAGAGCATCTACAGTCTCCCCTGAGATCACAGCAGCATCCCCTGCAGCAGCAAAGCCTTAAGCCAGCATGTCATAAAGAAACATTATAAACACTACCTTGACATTTTAGTGTACACAGTTAACATTTACATTTCACACCACCTCCTATGTAAAGTCCTCTCTCTATGCCATCAATTCACCAATTCTCTTAACCCCTCCCCACCCAACACTAAGAGCACCTTTTCTCAGGCAGGCCAACAAAACAGTATTTTTGGTGCTTCTGAGCCCAGCCACTGTGGAGAGAGGAGTGGTCGAAAACTGGTTAAAAATACAAAAATTAGAAGCAGACAAAATTCTCCAACCGTCAAAACCTTTAAAACCCACCTGGGTCTTTCCCAAATATCCCAGAAAGCTTCCAGCTCACAAAGAGATGCTACAGGCAATATTCAAAGGCTAATTTCAACGTTTCCTCTGAAGCATCTTTTGATGCTCCAGATTCATCTTCTTAAGGGTTAATATATCAAAACAGGAAGGAGAGGGGGAAAAAAAGTCACAAAAGCTGTATAACTCCTTTCTGAGGTATGACAAACTCTCTCTGCATCTTATTCCAAAGTGTGAGATGTGAAACTTGCATTCTTAAGCTCAATAAAAAATGGCATTAAAAAGTCCTAACCCTGGGAACTGCATGATTATTCGTTTATCAGATCAACATCAGCAAAACTGTCTTTTTATGTGCTGCTTACTTTCAAAAAAAACCCCTACCACGCATATTTCAGTTCTCCCTCTCCACACCCCACACCCTTCTGCTGCTGTCCAGCTGGAACACATCAAGGGTCTAGAAGCCAAGTCAAATGTTGACCCCACCCTCCTCCATCCATTTTAAGGCACCTTCAAAGCCAGTACACTGATCTAGTTCAGCTTAGCCAACAACGCCAGCAAATCTGTTATTTAAGACTTTAGTGCTGGGTTTTTATAACTGCCCATTAATACAAGCTTTGATGTATGGTCAAAAAACCCAGCTGTAATGAGTTTCATCAGACTGCAGTAACCTTTCCTCAGAAGGTCTTTATTACTATACCTTCATAATCTTCGGGCCCAATACTTTTATAGAAGCATTCTTACTGAACCTCCTTAAAAACAGCTCAGCAACACTTAACACTCTTTCCCCAAAATTAAAAGAGCCAGTTATAGTTTTTCTTGAAGACACTTTTGCACCCACATTTTTAATTACATTTTGCTGTTAAGAGCATGCAGGCAATAGCTGTGCAAACTGAAAGACAAACTAATTTTCATTACAAAGTCCTTCAGACAGGATACAAAAGGATTTTGTAAAAGGACAAACAACTTACTTTGTTGCTCCCCTTTGCAGGATGCAGCACGGAAGAAAGAGGGGAAAAAAGAAATATTAGTTATATTTATTTTACATGCATTCAGCGTAACTTGTACAGTTCTGGAAATGGCTCAAACCAAATGAGGAACTGACTCAGGGAACATTACTGAATCCTGCAGTCAGACAGCTTCCAGGGGAGCACAGGACATTCACAAAGGACTTGAATATTCAGCAGAGCTGTTTTCCTCACTGCACAAACATTCTGACCCGGTGCAAATCAGAAGCAGCTCCTGGCAAGTCGCTGAATACAAATACAAGGGAGAAGAAAATGAGGCCTGAAGTGATCTAGGGATGGGATAGGATGGGATGGGAGGGCAGCCAGAGGGATTTTCATGTTTTGGTAACACTGAATTTCCAGTACTCAAAGCAACCAGCTCGGCTGAGCCTTCCACGACAGCCATTCCCTACAACTTGCCAGCTAATGGAAAGTTTCAAGATTCAAAGCATTTAAAAAAGCAAAAGTTGGATTTTTAGATTAGTAATAAAAATAAGGAGGAGATGGCATCGGGGGGCATGGGGGGAGAAGGAATGGGTGGTGCTAACAAGGTAAAGTGTGCAGAGCAAGTTACGACAAACATCTGGGCTATTATTTTGGTTTAATTGTGAGTTTTGCCATGAGCTGGCATGAACAGTGTATATTATACAGTGGGAAGCCAGCCAAAATAAACACCAGCCTACACCAGTTGAGAAATACAGTCTGGAAAGGTTAGTCACAATGTTGTAGTCATTTTTTAACAAAAAAAGGAGGGGTTTGGATGCATCGGTCCAGAAAGCCAGCAGCAAAGTCAGCTGGTAAATGGATATCCCATTTCAAAGTGAATTGGCCACAGGATGATTTATATCAAGCAAGCTGCCTTGCATATGGGTTGGAAAAATAAAAACACTGATTCATTGCTATCTGGGTGGCTGTCAAAGCCCACGGCCTCACAAAGGCAAATGGATTGGGAAGAAGGTGACTTGGAAACTGCAAAGAATTCAGAACAACGCTGAGGGCTGACCAGAGGTAATTCATGGGACAGTGAATATGGGAACACAGTCACTCTGTGCATCCCCATGGACAGAGGGACAGGGAAAATAAGCAAAATGAAGCAAGGAAATGGAGGAAGGGGGTGATATATGGCTTTTAAAATATTAAAGAGATTTGCTTAGGCAAAAAGATTATAAATCGAGAACCTTGGACTTTAAATGAGCAGGATTAAATGAGCAGCAGAGAATCCATGTTAGTGGTAGTAAGTACTGAGCCCCATCACCACTGTAACCAAACAATTGTATGTAGCACTACTAAAAAAAATCAACACAAAAATGAATATTCTTAGTGGAGAGATTTGCCCTTAGTGAGAATTCAGAACACAGCTCTTTAATTGGTGCCAGATTCCTACTTTTCCTTTAGTTTTCATTTCCAAGAAGCAGTTCTACTGCTGGTGCCAAAGGCCTGGATACTCAGAGCTCCCAGCTGTGCCTCACAGGTAAAAGAGAGAGAAGTTCACTCTGGGAAGGGGCTTAGGCACCTCTTTGCCTTTTTAACTCTGGGATCATGAAGTTGGGGGGAAGCACTGAAGTAAACTCAGGTTGCAGTAATTTCCTGGCAGTCCCTCCTACTAAAAACTACGGTCTCTGAATCTTTGGAGGAGAATAAAAGACTGGGGGGTGTCTCGAAAACAATTTTGTATTGTCAGAGGAAGTTGTGAAACTGAGAGGCATGCACAGTATTTTCATGAAATGCTGCTCATTTTTATTTAGGATCCAGTGGATCTTCTAAGGTACCTGGAGCCTTGGAGATTTTGCTTTGCAAAATTCAAAACTCTGAACAGCAGACTCACAGTCCACATTTGAACCTCCTTTAGGAATAAAGTTTTGGAGGCCTAGAGTAGCACAGAGCGTCTTTGCTGAACCGCCTGATAAACTACTGGGTGAATTTCAAACTACAGGCATTTGGAACAATAATATTTATTCTTTTATAATGTAAAGATAATTCCAGCTCAGAGGAGAACTGTATTTTGACTCCCTTCTACTTCTTTCAAGGAAGTCTCTCATCTTGCATCTAAGACTCCTTTGACAGATCAACTTTAAACAAAACCAAGAATTCTTTGTAAACATATTTTGAATACCAAGTATTTTTAGGGAGAAGGGAGAGACCGGAAGACAGAAGAGAAGTTCAGAAATCCAACTAGTCTGTCTTGTTTAGGGATAAAGTACCAGATATACCAGCATGATAAAACCATCACAGAACACAAGATTAAACCAGAGGCAGCAAGAGCCTTTTGTGAAATCATCATTAAAACCTAATCAAGAAAAACCCAAAGCAACACAGAATATTGGTCCAAGTAATTAATTAGGTAACCTCTCATAACAAATCCTTGTTACATGGCTTCTGATATTCTTAGGTAGGAACAGACCTACTGGAACAGACAACATACTGAAAAGTCACCAAAAATGTTTTACTTTTTAAAGGTAAAAAAAACCTGGTAGGTGTCCTGCTAAATGCATATTTGCACTATTCTCTAAAAAAAATTCATCATTACCATCATCTGTTTATTTCTATAACTGGAGAATCCACTAGTATAAGAATTTTTTCTTTATCTTTTTATGGCAGTCTTGAAACTTTGTGTGAAGAGAAGCTGAGCTTGTTTGCATGAACAGCTCCTGGAGGGGATGCAGACAGAATTGTACTGGAAACCATGCAGGCATCACAATCAAGGGAAGAAAAAGATGAAGAGAGAAGACAGCACTAGACCCTGGACTCAAGGAACCTGGCCTTCCCATGGAAAACAATTAGGAAGAAGAGCAAATTCATCAGAATCAAAGCATCATTCCTCAGAGCAGATCCTCTGATGAAGGCATCCAGCACTCACTGCAGAAAGAACTGTGCATTACAGAAACTTTAAAGGCTCAAATGCCAGGTAATTCTGCTAGTCAGCCTTCTCTTTGGATACATCTCAAACCTCCACTTGAAGTAAAATACCAAGATATCCAGGTCCAAAAAATATTAAATAGTAGCTGGACATATTCTGTTTCCCAACTTTCTGTCATTTCTAGTAAATGAATAGAGGCTTTTTTATTGTATCCTGTTCAATTTGCTCCACATGATGATTAGCTGAGTAAAATTGCCCTTGGAAAGGTTTAGCATGTGTTTCATACACAAAAAAATGATGCAGTGAATAAGTAAAATAAATATACATGATTGCCTGGAATGCTTCTGTCAGTTCTGTAATCCAGAGCTTGAGGGAATAAACTCTTCAAAGCACATCTTTACCTTAGAAAACATTAATAGAAACAATGAAGCTCAGGAAACCCCAAATTGCTCAATGCTTTTACTACAAGGATCCAATGAAAAACATGTTGGAAGGTTTGGTTTGTGGTTGGTTGGGTTTTTTGCATTGAGGTTTGACGCACAAATTGCTCTTAAAATATTTCATTATGAATATTTTAGAATTACCACAGTACAATGAAAAGGCTGCTCTTTGTTGAGATATCTGAAGACACTGTGTTTTCCCAGATGATATAGTTGTTTTTTTTGTTTCAAACAGAGCAGCTACTGGCAAACCAGTGAGCTTTTAACTTACTGAGGATTTATCAGGATAGACACCGGCTCGTAGCAGAGATGCCTTCCAGCTATCCACCTCCTCTTGGGAGTCACAGGCTAGCTCAAGGAAACGGTAATCCTTGTAAACATTCCTGGAACAAAGAGCACCACATTGTAAAACTAACATTTTACTACTCCCTATCATGCACACAGCATTTAAAATTAAAAAGCATTTGGGATCAGAAATTACTTGGTAATTGTTGTGGACAACAGACTTTATGGGACAGGTGCTTGTTTAATAATTACATGGAGTACTTAAAAATATCTTAGAATGCTACAGCACAGCTCTGGAAATAATAATCAGCCAAAAGCACCATGAAACTACTTAAAATCAATTTTCCTGCTTTTGCTAAAACAGAGCAGTTTTAGGGAAAAAAAAAGGGTGTTGTGAGGAAAAGGACAAACACGTAAGACATGCCAACATAACAGCACAGCTTGTGATGGATTGCTGCTGTAACAATAAATACCAAAATCATCACTGATGCAACTTCTTCCCATGTGAAGTCCTTTCAGTCCAGTTTATACCCTTTTCAGTTTTTAGACATCATCAGTAAAAGAGGAAAAAAACAGCAATGATAATCAAGATATTTTTAAACTAACAAAACAAACCTCAGATGCCTCTCACCATAGTAAGAAAACTGGGGCATGTTTAAATAAAACCACTTACAGGTAGTTCACATAATGAGATAAATACAGGGAATCACTTAATGGAAGAAAAAGAGAAAGGAGGGAAAATACATCTGTAGGAAGGTGGTACTTGTGAATTCTTCAATACACAGAACAGATTTTCCCCTTACGGTTTAGCCGTTAGTTTCTGAATTCCAATTCTATACACAGACCAGATCACTGTAAGTTTGTCAGCCAACAGTCTTTTTAGGAAAGGCCACAAGCTTAGCTGAAAAGAGTTAGGAAAGCACATTTTGCTAGATCTTAACAGTTGCACAAGAATCAATCTTCCATCCCAAGCAGACTGTTTTCTTCCCTGAGCAAGCTGTGGAGGAGAGGGGTTGATGGAGATTGCTTCACTCTCAATGACGAGGGGCCCTTTGGTTTCATTGTGCAGCTACAGAGGTCATTTCTCCCACATAGTCTGAGAGGGAAAAAACCTGAATTCACTGTAGAACAAGGAAATAAAGCTATTATTGTCACTGCCTAGACAAATTTCTTTAGCATTTGGGGACTGGTGGGATTTCACTGCCACTGCTGGAACACAACTGACTTGATGTAATTCCCACTCACAGAAGTGATTCTCTCTTAACCAACAATGGCACTAGGCAGCTCACAGCCTTGCTTTTTAGGGACAGTCTCAGGAAACAGGTTAAAAAAAGGTAAAAAAGGTGTAATTGAACCTGAGCATGAAGCAGCCATGACACCAAATCATTAAATTATCACCTATGAAACCACAGCAGAGCAACCACAGCATACCCACTCTGAAGAGAGCAAAATCAGGTATTTTTTAGCAGGCTCATAGGTTGAATTCAAAACTGCAAAGAATAAAGGACATACTCAAAATTATTTCCTTACGTTGGTGACTCAGTTCTCACCAAATTCAAAGGCTAAATCTGAGCACCAGGCTTGCACTACTCCCTTCAAAATTCCAGACTGGAGGTGCCACCAGGGCATTTCCTTCCCAAAGAAACCAGCCCCAAAGGTCACAAAGAGGCACTAACAGGCCTGATCCTACAGTTTAGCCAAAGCCACTCACAGGATTAATAACTGAAAGCTCTGTGGATTCTTTTATTGATTGAGAAATTTAAAATTAATCCTTTTTCTTCCCTGACTCCAAACGTACTAATCCTTTCTTAAAGCAAATAATAGCCTGGATGACTTTATCAGATGCTTTTACCTTAAACTGAGCAAACACCTGAATTTTATTCAGTTTGCAACATTGTGGAACTCCAAGTCAGCACTTACTGAATAAAAAGAAGTCAATTAAAAAAAAAAAAAAAAGTGGGAAAAAAAAAAGGCATCATGAAATTGCCAGAGGAAAAAAAGCTTTAATTTATTGTTAGGAAAAACTTTACTGAGATAAGCTTTTCTGGCTAAGATAACGAAGCAGCTATAACTTTGAAGAACTAGGAAGCTGAAATGGTAAAAGGGTACTCTCAGCAAAGATGACTAAAAATAACAATAGAGCAAATAAAGGCTGTAAAACACAGTGATAGGGAAGTTCCAAAAACACTTATCTGCAAGAGCAAAACAACATGACACCAGCTTGTGAAAACATTTTTTCAGGCCTGTCATGTTATATATTACACTCTTTGGCATTTTGTGGCTTGCTCCAAGCAGCGTGGCTGTGCGAGCAGGGATTTCAGCCAGGCCCTCCGAGCACGTGGGAGCTGACAGTCCTGCATTCTGCCTCTGTGTCAGGACTTCTCCTGGGGCTGGGGACACCTCATGGCCAGCAGCTGATGTCCCCACATCTCACAGGCTTTTCTTTCTCCCTGTAGGATATGAGAGCTCTTTTTTGTGCAGCTCATTCTATTCCACCACCACCACCAAAGACACAGCACATGTGAGGGACTGAAGGATGCACTCCCTGAGTGCTCCCAGGAATGTCCCAGCAGGGCAGGTGAGAGGATGCTTGTCTCCCCAGCTGGATTTCTTGCTGCTAGACTGCCCCTGCCTGTCTTTCTCCCAGAAAGGCTGACAAGCATAGGAACTTTTCAAAGGAAAAAAAAAGCCAAAGTTAGCTTCTTTCAGTAACTTCTTAAAAGTGTGTGTCCTTTTCCTGTTACCAGTGGAATCTTACAAAAACACATTAACATGTTTTACTCATTAGGAATCCACTGGCGTCTCATGGAAAGCTGTAAAAACGTTCTTGAAAACAATTCAGATTTTCTGTTTTCTTCTCTCTTCCACTTCTTAAAATTGCTGAAGACATCAGCACAGCACCAGTTACTACTCAAGCCTCACCTACATTCTCCATATGGAACACTGTGAAGTCATGTTCTCACCCTCATCTCTAGAGCAGCTAAATGGGATGTTGGACATCAAAGACTGACAGAATAAAGGATACCAGGAAAGATGAATTCTCAACAATACCAATCCTGCTGATATTCAGGCATCTGTAAATGTAAGGGACTGCAGAAACAAGACAGATACAGAAAATGGGGACATGCCTACAAGTACCATCTGCAAGCAGTATTTCCCTTGAACATTTAACATTTCTTAAATGTGAACACATTATTGAGGAAACTGCAAAGCTGTGTGCATCTACCACATCTACCCTACTCTGCTTCCTCCTGGAGTCTCATCACTGTAATTTAAATATTATTCATGGTTAATGAAAATATAACTATAGTGGCATATCTGGAAATCAACATAATTGTTGATTTCCAGATATGGAAACATACTGATAACAATGCCTTTTTTCCCCCGAGTGAAAAATACAAAAGGCTACCATTTGTTATCTGCAGATTATATTGTACTCTAGATAAATAAACCTCGACTTGGAACTGCATTTCCACTAAAAATACAACGTAATTGCTCATGAGGATGAACAGACAATTGGACTAAAAGCATCATTTCTAGTTCTGGAAGGTTCCACACTCAGGAGATGCCAGGCCTATCACCTCGAGGTTGAGCAGCCACCCAGCTGTGACTTTGCTTACCCTACAACTTCTTCACTTTATTTTAACCTTGATTTCTTGATTCCTTTCCCCTGTATATTTCAGGGCCTAATACAGAAATGTCCATAGGCGTTTCTTGGATTCCTCCCATCACAAGAGAATCCTAACAGGACTGGGTTAAGGTATTTGAAGTGCCCAAGAGGAAAGTGAGAAATGCCAGAGAAGTTTGAAGACTGGCCCAGCTGTGAGTTACTGAGATTTCCTTCCCACCTACCCTGAAGCCTGGGCTGTCAGCACTGCCTAGGGAAAGCTTGCCTGCCTATAAACCAAATCTCTGCAGTCCACGAGCAGGGAGTGAATAACACACCTGAAAATCACCCAGAAAGAACAGCCCTTGCAACACCAGTGGGATCCCTCCATGGTGGCTGCACATCAGAATGTGCTGAGCACGTCCACAGCTGTACATCAAGAGGGACTGTACCTCTTGCAATTTCTTAATACTAAGCTCAGGTTAAATATTTATCTCCAGCAAGCCTAGAAAATTTGGAAGGGCAACCACTGCAGGCACATTACAAACTCAGTTAACATGTGTGCTTATATATTAATGCATACTCACATATAACCATGTGCATGGAGAGCTTTTAGGCTGAGTTGGATCTGGATTTCACTAGCCAAAGTTGTACTGGATATGCATAAAGTTTCTTTTCATAGAGAGAAAATACAAACCAAGATTAATTAAAAATGCATTTATTCTTGCTAATGTGGGAGGAGACAGAACAACCCTTCCATAGCAAGAATAGTAGTGACATTTTTTAGAACTGGACCTATAAACTACTTGAATCCTGCAAGGAACACAAACCCGTATTTAGCTTCAGCAGTCACAGTGACACAAGAGAAGCTACTCACAGACTGCAAGATAAAGGAATATCTTCTTTTACAGGGATTTCAAAGTGATTTTTTGTAAACATATCATCTCTATTAGGATGGAAGCAGAATTGAACATTAGAAATCTAGAACTATATGCAAATTAGTCCCATTTTATTCCATGAAAAACACAAAAGATTGAATTCTTAGGCATTTCTCACTTGATTGAAATTGAAAACGTACAGAATATGGGTTTAATGAATAGTCACCTAAAATGAAAAGGGGAGAAAATAACAGAATCCACACACTCCAGCTGCTGGAAAAGGTAATCTTGGATAAAATTGTACATTTTCTATCTATTTAACCTGCAGCTCCACTGTGCACACTCTGCTTATTCAAATTTAGTCTTAGTCTGTGATTTTGGACACTTGTAACTGCACAATGGCTGGTTTGAGCATATGCACCTTTTTTTTTTTTTTTCCCCAAACAGGAAAGCTCTACCAAAAGCTCTGCAAATCATATATTTTGAAGAAACAAAAATGGCCATCTGCTCTGAGTTAACAGCAGTGACTAACATTTTCTATCAAGGCGTACCATTTCAGATCACTCCAGTGTGAATGCTAATTAAAATTAATTACACATGGCTCTGAAGATTC